GGTAAAAGAACAGAGCTCACATAGAGAAAAGAGCTTTGTCTGATGAGGTGGGATTTAAGCTGACGCCAGAATGACCAGAAGGAGTCAGCCATGACAGACTGAGGAAAGAAAGAGGGGGATTTTTCCAGGCAAAGATAATCGTGGCATATGCAAAGGGCCTGTGGTGAAAGCAGCTCAGCAAGCATGAAGAACAGAGAGGAGGCCACTGGCTAGAGCATAGGGGCTGAGGTCAACAGCAGTGAGAGCCCTGGAAAAACTTTCAGCATGAAAGCACTAAGACCATAACTGAGCTGCTGCAGCGGGAAGAACGGATGAATGAGGACAGGCATAGAATTGAAGACTTGTGAAGATAAGGTGTTAGGGGGATGCCAGGAAGACTGATGTGGCTGGAAGAGGAAATGGCTGTGCAGGGCTGAAGCAGAGAGAGCTAGAAGCTTAGGCTAGAGCCTCTGTGTGAAGAAGTTTGAACACCAAGGCATTTGAATGAGGTACTGCGTACAAAGAGCTCTGAAATTTTAGAAAGCGCTACACAATGATGACATTTACATGGCATTCCCCGGGGGTGTCAGAAAGGTGAGTTAATAAACAGCTTTCCGGGTTTCTGTCACCCTAGAATGCTCTGTTGACACCAACACAACTCTCTTATACTCTTGGGGACCCCTCAAAACACTAAAAACAAAACGGGTCTCCCTGTTGCAAAGTCCCTTCTGGAAGCCAATTTAGAAGCTCAGAATTATTGTGTAGCAGCTTCCTGCCTCTGAGAACAGATGTTAATTACCTATTTTTCTTCCCCAATTTGTGGATGAAGCAAGTTCATGGTTGCTATGCTTTAGCTATCCCTGCGATTGTACGAGCTCGGTGCCTTCCCCAGACCATGACACGCAGTGTGGGGTGGGGTGTTCACTGCCCAGCTCTGCCCCTACCGTGACCGCTCTTGTGCTGGAGATGCGACCTGGCTCAGCCACTTTCCAGCTGTGTGACCCTGGACAGGTTACTCAGCCCCTCTTTGCCTTAGTCTCTTGCGCTGTAGAATGGGAACAGAATTCGTACCCAACTCACAGGGTTATTGTGAGGTGTAAATGACATAATTCATGGAAAGCTCCCAGAACAGCAGATAGATAGCTAAATAAAGGTCTCTGTCTCTGTTTCTATTTCCCATTCTCTCCTTCCTTCTCTTCCTTCAATTACAAACAGCATGCATTTTTCTTCACAATAATAAAACAGAAGTAAGAAAAGCCAATCCATTCAGCCATCCCCCACGCTTTCCCTTGATAAAGTGATAAATTTGTTATTTTAATTTCCTCGAACTTTCATGCATAATATTCAGGGAAGGGAAACATAAATTTAAGGATGGATAAGGAGAATTGGAATTAAAATGCATCAGGTTTCTGTTATGTACCAAACACAGTACCGAGCATTCATATACTGGCATGCTAAAATCCGCAGCAATGTGCTAAGGTGATATTCAGCAGTGACATTCAAAATACCTGAGAACTTCTAAGGCATAGGCACCAACTAGTAAGACAAGATGCCAGCCATAATCCTGGAGAAGTATCCTAAAGCCACCTTGTTCCTAGAGAGTGGTAGCTTCAGGAGGCTTCTTGGGGAGGGGCTGGGATGGCCAGGAAGCAGGAAGGCACTGGGAGAGCTCAGGACAGCGAGCTACTTACCAACAGACACAGAAGAAGTTCAGTATTTAACAAAGGGTCTGGCCACACAGGTGTGTATCAGCTGAATGTCAAACCCGCTCAGGACAATGCTCTTGGGGTCTGGAAACCCAAGCAGTGGCCCCTTGGTAATGGAATTTTCTCCCTCTGCTCTCCTGAGTGTCCCCTCTATTATTTGCAAGTCCAAGCTGAAAAGCAGGCTGACGGAGCTTGAGAATGGAGAAAAAGTTTGAACTGATAGGCAAAATCTAAGTGGGAAAGGTGCAGATGGGATTAGCTTTTGGCAATATAATTTCAAAAAGGCTGTGGGGTTACTTTTCAATGGGCTGCCCAGCCTCTGAAGAGTTGTCCCCTCTTGACAAAACCCATAGCCAGTCCCAGGTCACCCCACAAAAGACAGCACCTCGTGGTTCTCTCCCAAGGCTCCAATAGAGGCAACAGAGCACTCATCGGGGCTGAGCTGCTGTGAAATCTTCTGCAATCTGCCAGTGGAATCATCCCTCTCGTGTCTACACAAGGAGGATCAGGTGCTCAGGGACCATAATGCTGCAAGAACAGCCCATAGCAGCCACCTCCCCATGGTCAGGGTGACCAGAATCCTGTGGGGAGTCAGGAAAAGCATGCCCTCCACTTCTCTTGCCTGGATTTCTCCCTCTTCCATCCTTATCGGATCTAAGCGGGGCTGGATCCAGGACTAAGTGAAGGGCTTTGTGTTATTTCAAATTTTACTTTGTTTTAAAGCCGAGGCAGAACATTAAAAAAAAATACTGTGGGTCAGATGAAAACAGGTGAGGTGAAGGCACGGTCTTGCAGGGATGATGAAGAGGGTTGCCCAAGGACATGGCACCAGTGAACCCAGGAGTGGGGTTCAGTGCAATCTGCTCATCTCCACTGCTTGGGCTGGAGCGGGGGTGGGGAGGGATGTCCGGAAACCAACAGTTCAAAGACAGGAGTGATCATGGAGGACAAGGGAAATATCCCAGACCATGGTGGCTGGAACATAAAAGAAGACTGGAGGTGAATACCGGATGTGGATTAAGGACATTCAGGAAGCCCAGCTAAGACCAGGGGTTTGAAGTCTACAAACACAGCTCTCGGGGATCCAACACCTGACACGTACGAGGACCTGGGGTAGGCATTTTGCACACGTTTTATTGTTATATTGAATCCTTCCAGAACCCTTTGGTGAAGAAACTGAGACCCAGAGGGTTGAATTCCTGTTTTTCAAGGTCATCCAGTAAATAAAGGAGGCAGGATTTGAACCCAGGTCCAGGTGGCTCCAAAACCTGCACTGTAGCCTGTCTCACTGTCACCCCTCTGCGGGTTTCTAGGCTTGACAAAAATGTCTCCTTTTTTTTTTTTTTTTAAAGATTTTTTATTTATTTGAGAGAGAGAATGAGAGAGAGAGAGCACACGAGAGGGGGGAGGGGCACAGGGAGAAGCAGACTCCCTGCCGAGCAGGGAGCCCGATGCGGGACTCGATCCCGGGACTCCAGGATCATGACCTGAGC